GTTTCAGCTGTGACCTGCAGCCAGAAGCAGTTCAAACAGTTATTCTCAAAATGGACCGAACATTTAACAGAGCTCTCAAACTTTATCAGAACCATTGTACACACAAAATTGTTGGTACCCCTCAGTTAATGAAAGTAAAACCAACAATGGTCACAGAAATAACTTGAGTCTGACAAAAGTAATAATAAATAAAAATTCAATGAAAATTAAGCAATGAAAATCAGACATTGCTTTTGAACTGTGGTTAAACAGAATTATTGTAAAAATTAAACTCATGAAACAGGTCTGGACAAAAATGATGGTACCCCTAGAAAAGACTGAAAATAATGTGACCATAGGGACATGTTCAATCGAGGTGTGTCCTCTAATTAGCATCATAGGTGTCTACAAACTTGTAATCACTCAGTCGGCCTATTTGTAGGGTTACAAGTAGTCACTGTGCTGTTTGGTGACATGGTGTGTACCACACTAAACATGGACCAGAGGAAGTGAAGGAGAGAGTTGTCTCAGGAGATTAGAAAGAAAATTATAGACAAGCATGTTAAAGGTAAAGGCTATGAGACCATCTCCAAGCAGCTTGATGTTCCTGTGACTACAGTTGCTCATATTATTCAGAAATTTAAGATCCATGGGACTGTAGCCAACCTCCCTGGACGTGGCCACAGGTGGAAAACTGATGACAAATCTAAGAGTAATACGAATGGTAACAAAAGAGCCCAGAACAACCTCTAAAGACATTAAAGGTGAACTCCAACGTCAGGTCAGATCGCACCATCCGTCGTTGTTTGAGCCAAAGTGGACTTCATGGGAGACGACCCAGGAGGACACCATTGTTGAAAACAAATCATAAAAAAGCCAGACTGGAATTTATCAAACTGCATGTTGACAAGCCACAAAGCTTCTGGGAGAATGTCCTATAGACAGACGAGACAAAACTGGAACTTTTTGGCAAGGCACATCAGCTCTATGTTCACAGACGCAACAATGAAGCATATCAAGAAAAGAACATTGTCCCTACTGTGGAACATGGAGGAGGCTCTGTTATGTTCTGGAGCGGCTTTATCTGGCACAGGGTGTCTTGAATCTGTGCAGGGTACAATGAAATCTCAAGGCTATCAAGGTATTCTAGAGAGAAATGTGCTGCCCAGTGTCAGAAAGCTTGGTCTCAGTCGCAGGTCATGGGTCTTGCAACAGGATAATGACCCAAAACACACAGCTAAAAACACCAAAGAATGGCTAAGAGGAAACACTGGACTATTCTGAAGTGGCCTTCTATGAGCCCTGATCTAAACCCTGTTGAACATCTGTGGAAGGACATAAAATATACCATCTAGAGAAGGTAGCCTTCAGCCAACTGGAGCAGTCTGCTCATGAGGAGTGGGCCAGAATACCTGCTGAGACGTGCACACGTCTCACTGACAGTTACAGAAATCGTTTGATTGCAGTGATTGCCTCAAAAGGTTGTGCAACAAACTGTTAAGTTAAGGGTACCATCATTTTTGTCCAGGCCTGTTTCATGAGTTTATATTTTTAAATGATTCTGAAATTGTAATGAATAGAAAACCTTTTTGATTAGTATCAAAGAACTGCTGCAGACGTTATTCTGTAGATAAAAACATCAGATTGGGTTTTTTTGTGTCTGACTTCATGTTAAATTTGGTGCAATGTCTTCACAACAAAGGACTGTGGACTCTTTCATCCAAAGTCCAGCTGAAGTCACACCAAGCTGCTGGACTGCAGCGCTGTTAGCTCTGCTCACATAATGTTTCAGTTTCTTTCCTTCGAAGCTGTAATTTACTTGGCAACTGTAGCTGCATTAAATCATGAATCCTGCTTCATGGCCTTTTATCACCAGCCAAACTGGAATCACACTCAGCCTCAATGTCTCAGGTCCAGAAAGACTCTCGGCAGCACGGGACATGATGAGCAGTTACCTCCTCACCTCGGCCACACAGCACGTGGATCGGAGCCAAAAAATCTCTCGGGTTGACAGGAAATGTGAATGGAGTTTCCACATCAAACAGAGGGCTGAGGAGCGGTGTTTGTGTATTGTGAGGGAGGGAGCGAGGACGTAGGTGAGGGAGAGGAGGGCAGAGCGTCATTCACGCCTGAGTGCCAATCCTGATGTCTTAGAGAGGAGTGTGGACACAGAAGCCCAGCGTTCCTCTGTGTGCACACCTGAGTTTGTGAGGTATAAACTGAAGCATTCACACACACAGGGAAAAGGACACTTTGTGTATTGTGTGTTTTTATGCAGAGGTCAAGAGCAGAGTTTGGCCTTCAGAGCAGGCCAAGGTGTGAGAGGAAGGGAGAAAACAGGACAGTATGTCCGTTTGTTATTTCACATTTTAGAGATATTAGTTCATATTAAAGTCGGTCACAAGTCAAAATCAGCTTTAGTCTTTCAAAAATGAAAAAATGCATGTCAGCTCAAAGCTGTGTTTTCTGTTCCACTTATCACAATCATACCATAATGTCCTTTACAGTTTTTGGCCAATGTGAATCTCCTAAACAGTTTCAGAGCTCCTTGTCTTAGATTCTTTGAGCTTTTCTGGAAAGATGAAGATCATTCTCCCATAATTTGGTGTTTTAGGATGGTGCAAGTCTCCCATATTTGTTTGATTTCACTGTGACCTGGAGAACATGAAGGTGAACGAACCCGCATGTCCTGTACATCTGCATTTGTTACACTCCATTGTGTTTGGCTCTTTCTTTGTTTTTAGACTCATTTTTATAACGCTATAATATGGGCAAGCCATGCTGTTACTTTAGGCTTCACAGTGTAATAATGTTCAAATACACATTTTACATTCCAATGTTAACAATCTGTATCAAGTATTAAAACTTATGACACACAACATGCATTTGTTTGCTAACTGATTGATTCGTAATGCATGAATGAATATTTATGTAAAAACCAGACTTGTGTGAAACAAAATCTCTCTATTATATGTTATATCTTTACATATAACAGAGAGATTGTCTAATACTGCCACCTAGTGGGTTCTTTTCATCTCCAACTCTCTTTGTGCAACAGATACTGGATTACAAATGTGTGTGTTTCTGTGTATTACTCAGGTAGAAGTATTACTACTACACTATGAAAGTACTCCATTACTAGAAAAAGTCCTTCATTCAAACCCACACATCAGAGAAAATAATTTTTTATCAGAAAGATGAATTTAGCTATCAAAACTATAAAACTAAGTATTTCCCCCTACAGAAAATGCACAACCTGAACGCCCTGTGTCTGATACCTACAACAGGCCTTTAAAGTTAAACAAATAATTGTCTTTTTGCATCCTTCCACGTTTCCACAAACCTGACTGGTGAGAGTAACTAATCTGAGGAGTAGCGAGTAACTGTGAAGTATTTAAGTATAAATATAAAGCTGCATAACATGGAGATGGAAACTCAAGTAAAGTAAAAGTACTTGAAATTTGCATTAAAACACTAAACCTGAGTAAATGTACTTAGTTACATTCCACCACTGCATCACAATTTACACATTACCAGCTTTGAAAGGGCCTGATTCCGATTTGTCGTTAGAGTTTCACTCCATGGTAGCATGTGACCTGGTTTCGATCTGATTCGAGTATCGATGTGTTGCTGTTTTGAAGGAACTCATGTGACTCTCTTCAGGAGTTATGATCTTATTGATGCATTGTTGATGTGAGCAGGCGTCAATGGGCACATACTTCACTGCTTATCGAGCCAATTATCAGCACCTGATTTCTGAATCACATGACATTAGAACTACCTGACAAGATGTGTGGCATCAGAAACAAGTACTTTTATCTTCCTGCCTCTGTTATGTATGTAAGTTCACATTCGGTTTGCATTGGCCCCATAGACTTCGTCAGTCTGGCACTCGCCTGGGAACTGCTTTTGCATTGGACTGTGTGTTATCCGGTGTTTTGAAGTCTCGATCGGTGGAAACGCAAGCGACCAGGAAGAAGAAAAAATCGTCACCTCGGCACATTACAGCTGACTGAAGCCTCACACTCCGGCAGCCTCCTCAATACACTTCCAGCGTCCACACACTGCGACTTTTCCCCCCCTCCCTCTTGCGCACCAGGAGGCAGCGCGCAGTGGAGGAGAGGATGTGCCACAGACTGAAGTGTCAGAGAAGCGAGATTGTTGCCTTACCTGCAACGTTACACACGTTTCAATTTAGAATAATTATTGGAAGCACTACAAATGAATAAATCATTCTACCAAGCCCAAACCACATCCATTATTTCCCCATTTTGCCACAAACCTCATTGTTTGTAAGACAAGTCGTTTTCGATTTTCCACATAATCTCAGTGTCCGCAAGTCAGGACAAGCTTCGTCCACTCGTCATCTGAGATCAAACAGACACCTATTAGCCGGACAGCCATTAATAGGTGTGCACCACATCAAAGCCACGCGTTTCTAAAGGTCTGATAACATCCACTGAGAGGGTGGGGCGCAGGGGGACCGTTGTTCTGTGCCTGTCAAGCAAAGTATAAAACCCTCTGCTAAGTTGTCCTGCCTGAACGCATCTGGGACACACTCTGCAAACTCTGCAAGAAAAACATGGCATACGATTTGGATTTTACTAATGTTCCTGGAGTGATGCCGTTTTACTCGGGACAACACTGGCCTGCTGCATGCCTGGACATGAACAACAACAACAACCATTACGCACAGGAGTCCAGCAGAGGTGAATAAATATTACAGCATATATTGATATAAAAGACAAAATTGTGGCTGCTTAAAGGTATGCAGAATTTGTACAGTTTATTTAATTTGGTCTTGTCCTCCATCCTTGTAAGCCACTTGATGCTCTCCCTTCTCCAAATTTGTTTTCATTTCTGCACTCAAGTTGTGGATAATTCTAATTTGGAGACAAGTAAACGTGACAAATAACTAACTCTTGTCCTCCCCCTGTAGTCCATTATGATTCTCCCCACACGATCCACTCGGAGACTCAACGCCGCCGAAAGCGCACGACCTTCAGCAAGGCGCAACTGAACCAGCTGGAGAGGGCCTTCTCTGTCACGCAGTACCCGGACATCAGAATGAAGGAGTCTCTCGCCACTGTAACCGGACTACCGGAGTCTAAGATTCAGGTACAACACGTTCCTTCAGATGCGTAATTTGGAAAACGCCAAATGGTACAATATCTAATCACAATGTATGCTGTCCAACAGGTCTGGTTTCAAAATCGACGCGCCCGCTACTTCAAGAGCAAGAAACCAACTAGAGAGGACCCCAAAGCCTCCACAGACCAACTTCACCTGCAGACCACCTACACTGCGCCATCCAGCCCATCGTGCCCTCAGCAGATCCCGTCTTTCCTTCCTCCTACTCTCAGCCTACCGTCCACACCAGGATACCCTGCTCCAAGTTTACCTCAGACCACCAGACTCTCAACAATCCTGGACAGTCAGTCTACATCCAGCCTCCAAGGAGGCCCACAAGACTACTACCAAGACGTGTTTCCACACAGTGAGCTCGGTGAGTGGGATTTGCCAGAGAGTTTAGAGGCATTCCTCGGAGATCCTCAGGGATCTCAGCCGGTGGGCAGTCGCTGCGCTGCAGCTGCGCCTCTCGGGCCCAAAAAGGGCGGCCACAGCCAGCCAGACCAGCAGGGCTCCACGGACGACCTGTTTGATGTGAACCTCCACGACCTGATGGACGACTTCAGTCTGTCGAATCTTGACATTTCTGCAGCAATGATTAATTATCTCTTGAGCTGACTGATCTAGAATCTAGATAGCTGGAATAAAGTCACCAACACGCTGTAAATGGACTGAGCTGTAGCAGAGTATTTATGCAGAGATTGCATTGAAGAGGAGAAGGAAACTGTATATTAGGATACATTTATTGACAAATTGCAGAGTATCATATAAAATTACAAATACAAACGTTTTTATCACTCACGCCGTTTCCGTGAATTCATTCATAACTGTGGTTGTCGAAGTCGTCATCACGTGGCGCCGTGGCTTAGTTGGTTAAAGCGCCTGTCTAGTAAACAGGAGATCCTGGGTTCGAATCCCAGCGGTGCCTTTTTGTTGGTGATTCCTTTTTCTATATATTACACAAAGTAGAAGCGAACAGTTACAGTTAACTATTACAGCTTTTTTTTTAAACACTTCGCTGCTGTAACATGATGTTGTCACAACACAAAAAAATAAACACTTTTAACTCCTTCCAACCTTCGCAGCAACCTTTACTGCACACGTCTGCTCGAACTAAATCGACACGAGTACACGACACTTCTACTACAACACATAGCATTTTGTTGTGTTTACGGTCACAAACGCACCTTAATTTGACACTTTACGTCAATTTCAAACGTGGCTCAGCAGCCAATCAGAAGTTGTTCTCGTCGGCGCTAGACAACAGCTCAACACTGCCGTCAATTGTTCACGTAAAACGTGCTGTGAACATAAAGGCCTTTAAAAACCACTGAAATCAATTAAAAACACAACTAGGCATATAACAAGAAGAAACAAATACAAAACTCACATGCAACAAAACAATAAGCAAAAATGTAAAAAACAACTTTAATTAAAACTTCATGTAGATAAATAGGGAAAGCCAAAACAGGACTATAGGATTTATAGCATGTCATCTATGGTTAAAGGCTGAATCGAGTAGCTTGTATGAACAATAATTATGTAACATAGTGAATTCAAACAGAATACAGTGATAAAATGGTGCTAAACGTGATGGACAACATGTAAAAAGATATACCTAACAAAGCTTTTATTTTATTTATTATATGCGCTGTATTGTCCAATCATCATCTGTATTCCTGCTGTCCTGCAGGAAGTGCAGAGATAGTGAAGAGAATGACACGCTGGTGTATTACCATTTAGGCCATTAAACTATGTGTTTACATATGTGTAAAACAGATAGATAAACACTATTGACTTAAGTACTAAAACATACCTAAGACTTAGAGAAAGGCATTAAAAATACTTGTAATGTTAAATGTGCAAAACATACAATATATAAAAAATATGCAATGTACAAAAATGTAGAAACATATATATTAGAAAATGATATATTTATATACCGTTTGCAAAATGACTTGCATATATCCAATGTGCAAAAAAATACTGGCATATCTAAAATCTGAAAATAATATAAAATGTCTATATAAACATATGGAATGGTCTCAGAGTATATGAAGAGTCCATTTGCAACAACAGATAACTCCATCTTCACAAACCTTCAGAAAACCCACTTTTTTTCTTCTACCTGAAACAATATCAATCAAACTTAAGTTATCTCTATTTTTGTCATGTCATTTCTACTGAGTCAAATCCACTCAACTTCAATTTGATTGATATTATCGCAAGCAAACAAGAAAATAACATTTTTTTCTAAAAATTCTACAAAAATGGAGTTATCAGTTTTTGCATGTGAACTCTTCATATGTAACATCTGTATAGAAATTGACATTTGTCCTGGTAATATGCATGTAGAAGTCTATAATCTCACAAGCTTAATGTAACAAGGGTAAATAATCGGAAGGCTGAAAATCATAATATGTGAGGAAGAGGAATCCAGGAAATCTTTGTAAGTCATTTTACCTACTTAGAAGACATTGTGCAAGGCCACAATATTCAGGACAGAAGATCAGCTGAGATTGCATGGGGTTATGATGTAAACATGACTTGCAACTCCGGAATATGAGGTGAGGAATCAGACAACTAAAATACATTAGTATGTGTCGGAAAAAAATTCAACAATGATAAGACTAAAGAGGTCATCGCAGGAGCAAACAATCGTTTATTTTTACAGGGATGCAGACAGATACATTGACCAGCAGAGGGCAGTATGTGCATGTGTAGTTATGTGTCTGCTCACAGTATCAGTATTTGTGAAAATACAAGGTAGGAATGTGGTTTAGGTCAATATTAAGATTAAGCATGTACATGTGATACACACCTGCATTAGGTGTGTGCTTGTTGTCTGCATTAGTTGAACAACAATACTAACACACTTACCACACTGAAATCTAAAGTTTATTAACTCATGCACAATTTCTATCTAAGATGGTATTTCAAAGCTCATTATAATGAACTAAATATTGTTACAACAAAGAGCTGGTGCTCTTATTATTTAGCTCATATTTTACTAGTCACAAAGAGATGTGTTTGGGATTCAGAGCTGGTTTGTCTGTATTCCTTCAGCTGTCTATCTCTTCTCTGCTCTTGATTCATCAGGTGTGTATTCCCGCTCGCAGCCCAGCCAGTACTTTGCAATGGATCGTGGGTAAGGAGGGATGACAATGTCCACATGTTTCGTCTGCAGAGCCGCTCTGTAGTATTTATCTGCAACAAACAGAAAAGAATGAACAAACCCAAAGGTGTCAAAGGAGGAAGCATAAAAAGGGTCTTTTGTCTTCTTGCTTTGAGTGGAATTTTGCCCCAGTTTTGACTTACAAGCAACAATGACTCCATGTTTTCATACCTCTCTTAAAAAAATACACATTCTGAACGGGGGTGCTTTTGTACTCCTGCGTGGTGTCCTCATCAATGATGTCGCTGTAGTCGCTGAAGTCAAACAAGTCATCGTAAAACCACAAATCATCCAATACGAAGCGGCTCTGCCTTCTTCTCTGTCCACGCTTCTTGCTGGGCTTCCTCTTGCGGCTGCTGCGCCTCCTCAGCAGAGGAGAAGACGGCGTGGGTTTGGGACTGAGGTACACTCGCCCCACCATGGCAGCATCCACAGGAGGCCTGATGCCGTGCCAGTCCCTGCTGATGAGACGAGGGCCTCTGTGGTGACTGCCCACTGGAAGGGGAGAAAAGTCACAGAAATAATGCAGATAGAAAATAACAAATGAGAGATATCATGCAAACGCACAACAGCTGGACCTTACAGGAGCCTCCAAAGAGCTCTGTGAAGAGATCCTCCAATATGTTCTCACAGAAGAGGTTGGTGTATTGTGTGAACAGCACAGATGGGGACGACTTGCTCATCTCGACACACTCCTCATGGGAAGGCTGCTGCTTGAACTCATACTGGTAGTACTTGTCACCTGAAGGAAGGCAAAACCACATATTGTAGGACTTGTTGACAAGTCACAGTATGAAAACCAAGTGTTTAAAATAATACAGCCGATGTTGGCTGTTGTCAATTTAGCAGCAGTTTCAGGGTTCTGCTGTCTGCTGCTATGCTTTTCCTCCTGTGACGACTTAAAATATCTGCTGTGAACAAAACAAATAGATAAAAACTCAGTTTATGGATTGATTTTCATCACACTTTTTCTTTTTTCTTCCCACTAAGGCTGTTCGAACATCTTTGCTAAATGCCAAATTTTGGAGTGTCCTCACATCACAAGTCAGTACGAGATTATGGGACAAGTAAAGTCTTAAGTATTGGAAGAAGTACTCAGATATTTAATTGTGTAAAAGTAGCAAATCCACAATTTAGAAATACTCTGTTACAACTAAGTGCTACATTTAAATCTCCACATATAAAAAAATGTACATATTAGGACTGAATATACTTTTACTATCCAAACTAAAAGTGCTCATTCTGAAGACGTACTGGTAGGTAAGTGTTATTCTACTGGTGCAGCTGGTTACTATGGGGAATCCTAATCTACAATAAACCATCATGATGTGTTTGTTAATTATTAATATTTTTATTATTCAGAACTGATAATGTAATTAAAGCCATTAGATTTATATAGTAGAGAGAAAATACCGATTACTTCCTCTGAAATGTTGTGGACTTTAGGTATAATGTAAAATGAAGTTACTGAAGTAAATTATGAGTACTTTAAAAGTGTACTTTTGGGCAGTACTTGAGTAAATGTATTTAGTTACTTTGTGCCTCTGGAGTATCAAGACTCCAAATTGGTCCTGAACCGAACTGCAGAAATCACAAGAAGGTTATAAAAGTCACAAATTGCATATTGCACTAATTGATTTTTGTGATTCCTGATCTTTGCTTTTTATTATAAAATGAAATACAGTTTAGTTTTCTATCCCTGTTAAAACTATTCAAACACAACACTCCTAATGGCTTTACCTGCTGAGTCATATGCAAATCGAGTGTCTTCATTTGAAAAGTTCATGAGCAAAGAAAATTAAAAGCTTTAGAGAACTGCAAGGTTTACCGGTCGCTATGTGCTTTTGAAAACTGGAAAATAGCACTCATCTCTACACAAATACCTTTGAAAAAGTACGCTTTCTCTTTGCCCCGGTGACTCGGTGCTGGTACGGCAAACGCAGCATCAACATCAGCTGGTATGCCACTGAAGCCGACTGAAATTTCCCTTGGATAGTCCTCATCCAAGACATCACCGTCAAACCTCCAGTACTGGTTCCCCTGCAGAAGAACACATGTGATGAGGTACTACTGCAAGGAACAGGGTTTGTGAGCACCATGTGTCCCTACTCAAGCTCTAAGCACTGAAATATTTCAAGTCAAATGAATAATTAACAGGATTTTTGGTTTATAGTGTGTTCAGGGCATCACTGCTTTGCCTCCATGTTTCTAAAGCTTTCTTTGTGAGGACACTCAGGTTAATTTAGCTAAAGGCGGCATCAGCAGTGTCCCAGCACAGAAAACTACTGTCACACTATTTGAAGTTGGGTTCCCAAGCAAAGAGTGATTGAATTATGATACAAGTGGAGATTCAGTGTTTTATAATACTCTGAATCTCCAATGATAAGCTTCACTAAACACTCACTAATTCCAGACTCTATAGAGACAGAAGCGTCTACCTTAAAGATGTAGGACTTTCCCTGGCAGTTGATGCGTGTGAAAGCAGCGCTGATGGGCCCAGAGATTCCCCAAACATCCTTGATGAGCTTGGGGTAACCAGGAAGTATGGACTTATCATCCAACTCAAAAAAATATTCACCTATGAAAAAAAGCAGGCGTCGGGTCAGTTTTCATATCAGTATGTCACATTAAGGGAACCAGGAAAAATCACAAAACACCAACACAGAAAACAGATTGAGAGTACAAATGTCAGCAAATCAGTTTGTTTTCTTGTTTATTTCCTCAAACTATAGTAGATGTAGAAGCAAAGAAGGAACATTTATGCATGTTTGTATTCTTTAAAAAAAACATGCATGACCTTTTTCTCTTCAAGAGAAAATGCATGATGCTAACTTTGGTTAATTGCACTGCAAAATCCATCCATCCATCCATTAAATTAGTACTTTTCTTTCTCTCTTTTTACTGACAGAAAAATAAATCCAGAGAGACAAAAGCGTGGACTAATTTATGAACGCCTCTGGGCACATTTTCTTTCATTCGGAAACACTGACATGACATAATTATTTTTAACATGCTGTAATGTTCATGTGCCAATTTGCTGTGTCAGTTTTAGAGAAGAATTTAGAGTATTGCTGGAGCATTTAGGAAAATAGAACAGCAAGGTTTAGATTTAAGTGTTGGTGGTGTGATCTGCTTAGATGTTAACTGACTAACAATAAAGTTTTTAAAAAAAGTAGAAAAGAACATTTCTATATCATAGGAACCTATGTCCAAGACAGCCAATATAAATGATTGACGTGAAACTTTTCAAAACTACTGGATAAACTCAAATCCATGATTAAAATTTTGAAAATTTGACCATTTTCTTTCTAAAAACTGACATTTTGTATCCAAACACTGAACCAACAACAGAGAAAGACAATAAATATCACTTACAGACAGACACCCATTTGCATGTTCAGGTTTACCTCTAAATGCATAGATGGACCCGTTCTTCAGCTGAAGGAAAGCATCAAAAGGTCGACCGCTGCAGGCCGCTGCGTCCAGATCTACAGGTGCCGTTGGTGCCTGTGTGGTGGTGGAGGGAGGAGTGGCAGGGGTGGTTGGAGTAGCGGTGTCTGAAGTTGGCATTGCAGTTGTGGTGTAGTTGCTGAGATTTGTCATTATTTCTGTCACTTCCTCAGTCTCCTCAAAGGTATCACCCCGAGCAACTGAGGGCAGACCATGAGAAGGTATTGTCAGTAGAAATATGCTTAATAATAAATTGCAACTCATTTATGCAGTGAAACTTTAATATTTCACAGCTGTACTGACTTTTTTTGGGGCAGATGGTGTAATAGTCCCCACAGCAGCTTCCATAGTAGACACACATGGAGTCACACTGACATTTGGTCTGAGCACTAAAGGAGCCACAGCGACCTTCACAGGACTCTGTGGAAACACAGTTTGTTTGTTTAGAGTGAAACAACATCAGTAGACTTGATCTGACTTTACCATTTGGTAACTAGCAACAGAAGAAGTACCAATACAGCAGTGTAAAATACTTCACCACAAGTAAATGCCGCATTTAGATTTACATAAAAATAGAGAAGTATTATCAGCATAATGGACATGATTATACATTGCATGATTAGACTTTTTAGTGATTCTGATTCATTAAACTGGACTCTCAGCAGCATTTTGCTGTTATATATGGTCCACAATTTAACTATTTTGTTAACTGTTACTTTAGCAAAATGTTTCCCAACCAAGAGTCCAGGTAATTCCAGTGAGTCACAAGGGTTTGTGGTACGATTAATAAGAAGAGAATAACAACTAAAAGTCTGGTCCTCAAATTTTCTTTCTTTCTTTTCCTTAACTGGACCTTTGTTTTTGTAAAAAAATCACAAGCCACGAAGGCTGGGGAACACACTATCATATTTTCTATATATATATTTGCATGTTTTCTTTAATGTTAAATCTGACATAAAAAACAACCCAACTATTGCTGCCAAATAAATGTAGTTGGGTGCTAATATGTAGGAGCATAAAAAGCTGCTAAAGTAAACTACAAACACAAAAACACAAAACTCGAAATTACATTTACATGCAGTACCTCACCAAATGTACCTTATTACCTTTCACTACTGCAAGCAACATCAATTTAAATGCACATATTTCATATCCCACTGTCCAAGAAGTTGTTATATTTTGAATTGAATACATGCACCTGCAAGCAAAATCACACGAAATAAACTGCAAAGCTCTTAATTTTTATCAATAATAAATGTATACATATATATTACACAGCAGTAAAACATTTTCCAATATTTAAAAATGACACTATATATATGTTACTAATGTAATATTACTAATGCAATGAAAATGCATCTTTCGTGTCAAAAATCGAATCCAGTCTCGAACAGTAACGCTGTCATTGCTCAGTGAGCTGTGGACGCAGAACAAAAGAGACCAGTTAGTTAGATTTCTGTTTTACAAATCAGACTAGGAGCTGCAACAGTGTGTTTGCAGATTTACCTTCTGCAGCAAAGGTGGCGTCCAGCAGGAGGACGAGGCCCAGCAGAACCACCGCTGGCTTCATGCCGACTCACAGAAAATATCTCAGTTTCAAAATAAAAAATTGTGTAAATTTCCTAAAGAATGTAATCACAGTGTGTTTACATGGATGAACCGTCAGATGGGTCTGAGCTGAGTGTCCCACTTTGGGATGTGCTGCAGATGATCAATAGATATTTTCAGAAGCTGCTGACCCCCAGGCGTCTGCCCTTCTGATTGGTCAACATGATAATGATTAAACTGTGAGGGCTGATCTCTGACCCGTCTGCCCCAGAAACACCATCCTAGGACAGCACAAACCTGAGTACTTTTAGGCCCAAAATGTGTTTTCCAATGTTTTCTGGCAAACGTAACAAATGATATCACGTTTGTTTATTAGTGCTATCATAATTGTAATAAATCTTGTATTGATAGTCTGTTTTAGCTAAAAAGCGATTAAAATGCAAACTTATAAAGTCCATTGTAACTATGAAAGTGCCTTTTTTGTCTTGTAGAGCAGATAAATATTTGGAACGTCTAGTAAAGTCAGCTTGTAAATGAAGAAAAGAGTTTTAATGTTGTGTAACCAGGACCGCTTTTTCCCCCCCTCTATCGATCCCTGGTGTAAGTAAACAACTCCAAAACAAACACAATGCCCTCTTTCAAATTTAGCCCTGACAACCAGAGTAGTGCATTAAAAAAGAGAAAGCAAAAAAAAAAAAAAAAACAGGTAGGAGATTTTTAATATCTTTGCAGTCCTTGTGTTATCCAGCTTGGATTATAGCCAGCAGGTCAGATTCAGCACTATGGAGAGATGCAGGACTTTTCTGCAGACTGATTAAAGTGATCTTAATTCTTTATCACTCACCATCTTCTTTCATAGAAACAGAATGTTACAGTCACAGCATGTTGGTTTTCCTCGAAGGCCTCAGAGGCTCAATAGATTGGTCTAAAGTGATTTTCTACCAACGACTGATTATCCACGTGTCTCCGCATTATTTTACCTGCTCTGTGCCCTACATTATAACAATGCAGTTGCTTTTACTTATTTAAAAAAATTGAAATAAAACCTAAGTTTCCTCATTGGGGAAAGCATGGTTTTGTTGGGTTTCTGCTAATGACACTTTAGAGTCTCAGCCTAAATATTTGCTATAGTCAGTTAAAGCTGTGTTTTATATAAATTTTGGATCAAACAGTGACGTTTTTTTTTTTTTTTTCCACAAATAGGTAAAATAACATTTTAAAGAATATTTATAATTTTAAAATCCTTAATACACACAATTCTTATTTGAAATAATGACAAATATTAGTAAAATAATAATTTGTGCTGATTTAAAAAAAATAAAAAATACTAGCACAAGTACAAGAGGCAACAGTATCGACTTTTCATCAGTTTAGTAGATCCTGTGTACTGTTGTTATGATGTCCAAAGAACACAGTCCTACTTCATCGCAAAAATATACTTTTTTCTTTATGGAGTGATTCAAAGAGATATCCAAATCCCCACAGTCAAAACCTTGTACTCTAATATGTCAACAGAGAATTTAGAAATAGGATTCATTCAATGTTCAGATGTCTGTGCTGGAAATGTATGCATATTTATTTTCAGAATATCTCATTTGGATATTTAAACATAACATCAGATATGACATAGGAAAAATGTAATGATACAAACACAGGTCTAGTGGTATGATTCTTGCAAAGATTGCAATAGTCCGTCCCCCAACATTCAACACAGACATATGAACACCGAATTAATTCTGTTTCTAAATTCTCTGTTGATATATTACAGTCCAAGGTTTGACTGTGGGGACTTTGAATAAGATTTTGAAAAGATGAAAAGTCACTGCTGTTGGCTATGGTACAGCCACAAAATTTGTTCAAAATAAAATATGTAGAATGATCAATTAACCTCAGCATGTTTTTGGATTTGTGAGAGGAAGCCGGAGAACCCACAGAGAACCCACGCTGCATGGGGAGAATATACAAACTCCACCAGGCCTCCGACCTGGGACGTGAACCAGGGATCTTCTAGCCGCGAGGCGATGGTGCTGACCACCGAACCACTGAGCAGCCCCTTACAGAACGTTCCTGTAATTTAAAATATTAACAAAGGTGAAAGATTTTATCTGAGGACGTCTTGATGATACTGCTGTTGAGAACATTCTTCTATAAAACATTCTCACAATGTAACATGACAACAAAGGAAGGACATTTGCGGTGCAACATTCAGAAACGCTGGAGAGCATCCTTAGAGAACTTTTTTCTGCCTTTAAGTAAAACATTCTGAGAGCTAAAACGAAAACTTCCCACTGAAGACTAGAACTTTGCAGAATGTTTTTAGAACAAAAGAAAACTGGACAACCAATAAAGAAAGTCAGAAAGTGTTTTAAACTGTATGTATCTTTGTTGTTTGTCTGATAAACCTGACAGAGGAAAGACTAAACTGATTACTAAGTGGACTTTGGTTTTCAGTGCAGCCTGTATCAGTTAGTAACACTTGGGTTGCTGCCATATCTCTAATAGCTGCCAGTTAATGATGTAAGATCACTTTGAGGAACATTCAGTGAAAAGCGTAGAAATATATGCTGAGTAATCTGCAAAGTTTTATGTATTTAAAGGTTTAAATAGCAAAGCTCAGGCCTGCATGTTGATGTTTCTTCTGCTGGTGGAGTTTAACTGCAGGATAGTGATTAAAAGTCACTGACAGAAAACAGCCTCCTGTTTGTTATGACTAATAATAGAATGAGATGGATTTATAAGGGTAAAACATTTAAGATAACAGAAAATTCTGATTAGGAAAGCATCTTTTGTACAAGAGATTTTTTGGGGTAAGATGTGATTTAACCGTTGAACTTGTTTTTAACCTTTATCTGTTACATAAAACGCAACCTGCCACCACACCTGGAACACTGTCTGGTGCGTCTATGACCTAAATGAATGCAGCAATTTTGTTGTGATTCCTTTCTTTTGCATCAAATTTGGGAAAGTCACAGTTGAAAATTATTTAGAACTGGTTCAATGACATCAGTGTCACTGCCTCCGTAGTTATTTACTCCTGAATTAACAGTTTTGATCAGTCGGAAGCAGAAATGTCTACTGCTGCTGGAGTTTCTCAGATCTCTCTGTGGTCTGGTGATAAGGATAAGAAGACTGCGTTTCAAAGTGTCTCTTATCCACAGAGCCCAAGGTTGTTCATTTCTGCCTCACTATTGTGGAGCTGTTACTGTCACTGATTTAGTTTTTTTTTTCAGGTAGAAATTTAAGAAAGAGCCTCCGCCTGAAGGGGTTCGATGTCAGTTTTGCTCAGTACATGACGATAAAATGTGTATTGTTCTTAAAGAGATCTTCCAACAAGTTATTGTTGCACTTCCATCATGTTAAACTTGAAAGAGACAGATTAATCCTCTGAGCCCTGAGCAGCTTCTGAGTGTTTTCTTTACTCCTGTCACATTTTTACTCCCTCTGGGCTCATTTTTCACTGGATTATAAGGTCTTGCGCATCTATGAAAAACAGCACAAGCAAGAGTGACGCAGAGGGAACTCAGAAATATAAGAAAAGAAACAACAAACATTGAATTTCTTTGATTATTTATTTCATAAAAATTGACAAAATTCTGGAATCGACATGTACAACATCTTTTTAAGAACCCACAGGTGTTAAATGTGGGAAAAACACCAACTCGAGATACTATTGATATAAAGCTACTTAAACTTACATTGAATTTGTTTCCATCTTTGTTTTCTCTCCGTTCTGTGTCAGCACTGCCTGCAGTTCTGCTGAAAAATCTCTGAATTTTTCTCACATGACTGTTGGTCACAGCTGAGTCACTGATGACTTCATGGTTGCATCGAGTAGTGCATCATTGTGTCCTTTTTCCTGATTTCCTGGTTAGAAAACATGATTTATTCAGGGGTGAATTTCAAATTGAGACACACTGAATAAAGGGATTTTGATAAAATATCAGGTTTCCAATGAGGGCACCGATAGACGGGGCCGATAGACAGAGTGACCCATAAACAGGGGTTACAGTTCCCGCAACGTGGCTTCGACTCCCGCTCATGACCCTTTGCTGCAGGTCTCTCCCCATTCTTCTACCCCCTTTCCTTTCTACCTCTGCAGCTCTAAAAACTAGAGAGCCCTCAGTAGAGGGATATAGTTGCCCAATGTACGATGACTTTGACCTTTGTCTCAAGGTCATACTTTATATCACCTATTTACAGGTCTGAATGTCTTCGTAAGTTAGTATAATAAACTTATGTCTTTTTGTGAGTTGTCACCAATGCATTTATCGATCCCAAAATCTAATCTCTCTGAGAAGCAACCATATCGAGATCATGTGTGAAGTTTCAAGTTCAAACTCCTCTCTTGTAAAGCTCTAGACTGTTTACTGACAAAAAAAACACACACACACATGCGGGCACGACTACTTTATAGATGTATATATACATACATATATATATATATATATATGAAGTTTCGCAATGAAACCACAAGTCACAGATCCATTGCATGATTCCATTCTCTCTGTTTTTAAAGGGTTAAAAAGTATGATAAAAAAAAAAAAAGATGTCTAAGAAAATCATACGACTAAATGCATCTTTTAAGTGGTAAAATGGTAAATATTGCCCTCCTTTAAAACCCACATCGTCGGTTCTTTAAAAAACATGTCATAATCCAAAATATTTCCATGACCTTTACAAAACTTCCTCCACATCCACAGAAGAAGATTATCATACTTCTGCATTTGAGGTTAACCTGGTGTAATGTAGGTATTTTATCAGTTTGTCTGACAGATTGTGGTGAAACAGTAACAGAACACCTTTATTGTCGCTGGAGACACTTTCAGGATTCGTATTGATTCTTTTTGCTGAGTACTGATTGGATACAATGCCATTACTGTCCTCACATATCTGTAAAGTTACCTACAACCTAATTCCAACTGTAATGAGTGACGAAATATTGAGAAATAAAGATTTATATCCACCTGCTTTCCATGAGCAAACAGTCTGTTATATATAGTTTTTAATTGGCATGAACCTTTTTATGTCAAATATTAATCTAGCCCTAATCCAGTCAGCTGCTCTGCTGAGGACAGAAAAGAGGCCGGCTTTCAGTGAACAATCACAAAACCTTTGAGCTTTTCATTGCCGATGATTCTCCATAACACAATCAGCCATAAAATCTGTACAAAGACAACGTTCAGCTCAGGCTTATTCTTTAATGTGTGTAATTAAAACAAAAAAGTTCAGCCGGTAGTAACGTGACTGGAGGTTTGTGTCTCTTTTCCTTTGAAATGTTAAAAACATCCCAACTTTTCTGTAGCCTTGTCTTAGAAGTTACTCAACACAATGCAGGTTGAGTGTTACGAAAAGAAGAAAGTTGAAGAAATTAACATCCAGAATTTGTGTATGTTTGGAAGTTAGTGTGAATCTTACCACTGAAACCTTTTGTGGACAAACTGTACAAACTGCTAACTGTGTTGTTGAGAAAAGTGTGTTTTGAAATAAATCACTAACTGATAAATCAAAATATGTACTTTTCAGAGTTAAATTGCTTAGTTTTTTTATTCATCATTTCTCCAGTTTATATTTGGAATATTCTGATTTATTAGTGAGTCTCTCACACAGTCAATGCAAACTTCTAGAGCTACTAAAGAAATGGGAAACAGTTTTAAATGAAAAGATGAAGAATTCTTTTCTCTGACTGTCTTCATCAGCCACAGGGCTGCCTCTATTCACTGATTGTTACCTGATCAGTCAGTAGGCAAAACATTAATATGGATTTATGCAGTATTCCACCATGTGTTTTAAGTTTAATTTACTTTACATAACTACAAGATTTCATTTACATGTTTTGCAAGTGCATTGCTCCAATTTGGCTGCATTTTATGGTTTAATTGAATCTGTTTCTTATCTTATTATGGAGTGTAGGAAAAAGTTATTTATGAAACAACAGTGACAGTTTGTTGTGTAAGATAATAAAAACTGCAGTGATGAGTTTATTGAGAACAGCGCAGATCTTTCTTGGTTTACAGGCTTATTATAACATTGAAGCTTCTAATTTGTGTCAGTTTAGTTCACTTTTAAAGCCTCAAAGCCGCAATTAATTTTGGATCAAAGTTCTAATATGCTGATATTTGAGTAATTTTAGTGATTTGTGAAGGACGCGTTCATCTCAATTTAAGTCAGACAAGTAAAGCTGAAGCAGTAGAACTGTGGTTCCTTACCTTGTTCCGTCGTTTACAGGGGCACATACTTGTTATATCACTATGAATTGGACACTATTTTCACTGAAAGAGTCCAACAGACAAAATGCTTCAAAGCTTACATTAATGTTTAAGTAAAGAGTGAACGTCAGGCAGTTAATTAAGAATGCAGCAGCAAAACTCCTGACCTTAAGCAACGTCTCTGGTGGGGGAATGTTTTATTTTTTTCCCCGAAAGTTCCTCTAATTGACGCTGACATCTCCAACGTATCTCTGTACTGCACTTTCTGTCCAGGACTTTAGGTACAGATTTTGCAGACCTTGTATTGCTGACTTCAGTGGATTTCTCTGCTCATGCACAGCAGCTGACCTTTGGCTAAACCTGACGGAGCTTCATGTAATATACCTGCCCATTAATCGTCTATCTGTCTCCTTGTCTTTCACTCCTCCCTCCCTCCCCTCTCTCTGTATCTTTACTGTTACTGTCCATTGTTTCCCAATAACTTCCTCTGCCTCTCTGTCAAGGATCATGATGTCTTTGGTGTTGAGTTAATGTTTGATGTGCGACCACTGATATAGATAGGCTGCTCATTTTAGTCTCTTTACTTCAGTGGCTCTTTGTGGAGCACATCTGTTTGCAGCTGATTTGTTTTTCTTCACACCGGATCTGTGTTTGCCTCGATCAGCTGACTGTTCTCAGTTACCTTTTTTTGACTCTGGGTTGTTTGTTAATTTTTCTGAGAGCATCATGGTTAATTGGGGGAGCTGGTTTTGGTACCACAGAAACTACTTGATCATCGTTCTCACTCCGCTCATAATCCTTCCTCTGCCTCTCGCATTGCCTTCCTCGGTGAGTGTGTGTCAGCTGGGCTGACTGACAGAACCTCACACGTTTTAGAAAGTCTAAAACAGTTGGAGTTGGTTCGATCGCCGCTAATAATGTGTGTTCCTTGTCTGTGCTTCATTTTTCTGCTTGTCACTGGACACTTCAGACAGGTGTCCAGTTTGGTAACTAAAGTTGAATTTTGTTGATTACTGGAAAAAAAAAAAAAAAAGAAACATGTGCAACATTTTTCCATAGGTGATAGACTAGAAAAAGAAATGATGACCCTACATATTTCAGATATTTTGTTTTTTTACTTACATATATTAGTAAGTCTCCATACTTGTCTCCTACCTGCTCTGTGTAAACACTGTCTGTAGTTCAGCTGAAAAGCCATTAAATTTTTGTCACGACTGTTTGTTGCAGATAAATCACAGATGGGTCCAGTTACACCGAGGAGTGCTGAATCTTTTTTTTTTATTATTATTTTTTTTGCAGATTTAGCTTAAAGAAAACAGTTCATTTTTGGCCAGCACATAATGCTTTAGTTTATTAGTGATTAGAGTTTATTAATAAGAAAAAAAGAATCCTTTAAATCAGTGACACTGACACTAGCATCTATTTTTTTCTCAACTTAAAAGTGACAGACATGTCAACTTAAAAACCTCACCGGCCATGTAATCTATTGTGTTTAAAACCTACAACGAAAAACTTAATTAATCTGCAAATTTTTGTAACTTTCATTTTTATAATTACAGTATTTTAAAAGGCTCCTTTACTTTATGACAAATGAGAAACAAAGGTGACTGAATGCAGCACAGTTCAGTCTTTGTGCCTCAACATAGAGCCAATAAACACATAAAGACTACAGATGCCTGGATTCACTTCAACCAGTCTCACCGTGCGCTAATTACTATTATCACTACTGATAATTAATTAATTAATTAATTAATAATTAGCCAATTAGACAGATTTTGCTGCGACTGAGCCAGACTATTGTTCTTTCCTATTTTCTGTCCTAGTGCTGAGCGACTCACTCCCTCACTCACCAGCTTTATATTTAATATACAGACTTTCGAGTGGTATCAATCTCCTTGTCTAATGCTCAGTAATAAAGCAAATGAACACATTTTCCTGTCAAACGATTTATTTAAAGCTTATTTTAAATATATTTTATAAAACAAACCACTATTGATTCTAAAATGCCTGAAGAAAAAGAAGAGGAAGAGTGAATGTAACTCAAAATATATGTATGATTGAATATGATGCATTTAATGTTGCCCAAACTGTACAAAATATTGTAGTACATTATAGCTGCAAAGTAAATGTAAGAACAAAAATGCACATACATCAAACTACTGCAGTGCATGTACAAGCAATTAGTAAATTTCACACAATTCTCTTGAATGTGTTACAATAATTGTCTCGTTTTAGATTTTTTTTTCACTCTTTTGTGTTATTTTTTTTCTTTATGTTTTAAAGCTGTACTTGCATGCTCATTGACTAGCGGCATTCACAGTTTTCATGACAGTGGAAAGTTTTGTGTCAGGCAGTTTAAACAGACTTTACTGAGGGATCATAAAGAGCTATCTTGGAAGACGCCACTGCGACAAACTGTTTGTTTTATGATCAAGGGTTGCTGCTATCTGCATGTGTAAAGTCTTACAGTCTTTTAAAGAGCTGACAGAGATAAGACAAAGGGCATGAAATACTGTACTGATTGTGCTTTATTGTCTCTCTCTGCTTCTGTGTGTGTGTGTCTTTGTGCAAAATGCAAATCAAACACCTGCGTTTGCTTTCTGTGTGTATCTTGTTACACGTGAGCATCTTTTAAACTTTTATATGATCTATCCCTGTGTTTACAGGAGGCGAGATGTGGTTACGCGATCATCCTCATGGCTCTGTACTGGAGCACAGAGTGTATGCCTCTGGCTGTGACTGCGCTGCTGCCGGTCGTCCTCTTCCCCATGATGGGCATCATGAAGGCTGGAGATGTACGGTTGCACTTCTGTGTTCATTATGTAACAGCTTGCAGTGGTCCCCAAATTTATTCATACCCTTCCATTAAAGAAAAGGCAAAATTCACGAAAGTCACTCAAATAACTAGAAACTGAAAAACAGTAATAATAAATGAAAAATTGCGAAATCATAATTTAGTGAAATAAGACATTGCCTTTGAATTGTGGATGAAAAAAAAAAAAAAAACGGTCCCGAACAAATTAGAGCGCTTTGCTAATGAGCAGTGGGTCAAAATACCTGTCAATAGGTGCAGAAGTTTGATTGAGAGTTATAGAAAACACTTGATTGCAGTGATTGGCTCAAAGGGTTGTTCAACAAAATATTAGTTTACGGGTCCCATCACGCTTGTTTGCTTGTGTGTGTGTGTGTTTTAATACTTCTGTTGAACCACAATTCAAAAGCAATGTCGTGATTTTCATTCTTTTTTTTTTTATTATTACTGCTTTTGTCAATTTCAACTTATTTCAATGACAGCTGTTTTTTTTTCTTCTTTAATGGGAGGGTATGGATACATTTGAGGACGACATGCACCTGTGTCTTACTGAAACCTGAAGGGGAAGGTTGCTGCTTATGAATATAAGGTTCTCAGATATTTTTATGATTAGGACATCAATTTTTCCTAAGGTTTTCTTCTAGCGCTACTTAACTTTTTAAGGTTTTTGTTGAGTTGTCTTTGATAACAAGAGCAAAAAGATCTCCAATAATGAAATAAACACAAGGTGGAGTAAAAGACAAAACAATCAACTGAAGTTAAATTGGTCATTTGATCACTTTAAACTGTGCGTAAATGTAGAAAAACATATTTGGTCCCCAACATCAGGACATCAGGATCAGCTAAGACCACCAGCAGACAGTTAAACAGAATAAAACAGAATGCAAAGTTTGTTTTGTTTTAATAGACAAAACACAACCCAATGAAAGTCATGATTTCACCCTGACTCAGGTCTTTACAGGACAAGTTTTTACTGACATGTACAAACCTGCTGATCCCAGTGTTTGACTTTTATTGCTCGTAAAACAAATGTGATGATGCAGGACAGCCATACAACAGGTTCACGGCCATGATGTATTTTTTGTTTATTCATCTGCTTCAGTCGGTGTCTGTTTGATCTCTTGCAGGTCAGCATTGAATATCTGAAAGACTCCAACATGCTGTTCATAGGCGGCCTGCTGGTGGCCATTGCGGTGGAGCACTGGAACCTTCATAAGCGCATCGCTCTCCGGGTTTTGCTGCTGGTTGGTGTTCGTCCTGCCCTGTAAGAGAACAGCAGCTCCCTGTGTGCACACTGCAGCAGATAAAGAGTCCACTGTGACCACAAGTCTTTCAGATCATGTTCCATCCATCACCAACTTTCTCTCACAAAAATTATACTCTTATACAAACAGCATCATCATTTATGTTTTGAGTGAAATGTGTTTTCTCCTAGAAATGAAAGACTGTGATGTGATAGGAACGCTTTCACTTTGAAGGAGTAACAAAGTCCACAGAAGGAGGTGGAGGCTCAAGTCTAACACAGGACTTTAAACCAAGAGACTGAGGGTTGTGTACAGTTTGGGATCAATATCCTTAAAGTATCTCTCCGGTCATTTATTTAGCTACCCCATTTTTTTTGTCTTTGTGTATCAGAGTTATATATTCAGAATTTTTTGTCTGAAAATAATCCCTTCCTGCCTTAAATTGGCTTTGATGTAACACTACAATGCAGCTTCATTTAGAATGTGCAGATCTATCTTTAAACTTCATCACTTGCTGCTAGGTTAATTTACCAAAATATTACAGCTCTGGTTTAAAATCCAAGTCTTTCACAACACATTTGAAGCTTCTCCCCCATCTTCTGGGTTACCAGGATGACGGGTCTCGTCTAATCAAATGTAGGATTTGTTGGCTGTAAAGGAGTGACGGCAGAGTGGTTAAACAAATGGCAATGGTGTGTTGAATTGAAACGTATTTGTGATACGTCACAACAAAAAACATTTGCACCAAACGTATCTGAGAACGTAGTTTAGTTGTATAAGAACCATCAAAGTAGTTTTTTTATCATTTCTATCCTGTAAAATATATAACACAAATCCATCTTTTGGTGCTTTTCATAATTTAAAACTGTCTTTGACAGACAAAAAAAACATTGCTCTCGACAAGTTATTTCATCTTGTGCAAGGTCCTGTGACCCCAAATACTGAAAGTGAAGAAAAGACAGAAAAATAAACTAGCCATTTAAAAATGCAAAAAAAAAAAACACACACAACCATTTACAGAAATGCTGCAATTGATGAAATGAGAAAGAAAGGGGTTAAATCACTTAGGTATTTTCTTTTTTTAAGCTTTAACATTCTGATTTCATGATTTAGACATTTATTTGAATTGGAAAACAACAATTTTCAAATCAGGAACTTAAATATTCAGCTTCATCAATTAGCTGCAAAGCATGGCAATAAATGATGTGTAATATCACCTTAACTCATTGTAACTCAATGTTACTTTTGTCGTATGTCCGTATTTGTGTGTAGTGTTTTCTGTTTTTGCATCACCTGCATGTGATTATTTCTCCTTAAATGCTGCACGTGTATTGTCAAATTTGTTAGGATGTTTTGTCCTTTTGTAGGATTTCTTCAGGGCCGCTTTAAATGGGCTTTTAAGTGTTACGTTCCTGAAAGCAAAACAAAACAGAGATGCCGATGAACACTATTTCTTTCCACAATTAATTTATTTTACTTTATTCTTTGTTGGTGAAAAACAAGCAGTTTACCTGGAAGGACAATGAAATAACTTCCTCCTAATTTTTGAAAAGTACTGTAGAAAAAAAGTTCCATGTCCATCACTGCATGGTCACCAACATGGTCCTCACCTTCTCTTGCAGGTTAATGATGGGCTTCATGATCGTCTCGGCCTTCCTGTCCATGTGGATCAGCAACACAGCCACCACAGCCATGATGCTGCCCATCGCCCACGCTGTGCTCCAGCAGCTGAGAGACACAGAAGTCCAGGCGGATGAAAGAGATTTCCAGGCTGGACAGGCTCAGGACAACATGGCATTTGAGCTTGAGACTAGACAAACTAAGCTGGAAATGATAGATGACAAAAAGTCAGACTTTGTGCCTCAGCCGGAGGAGAGAGCATGTAAGTAAAGTGTGTGCTAGATAGATGTGGTTCTTGAAAGAGATCCTCCCAATAATGTTTGTTTTCTCAATGTTTTGGGCTCCAGATGCCCAGGAGATTAGCCCAGAGTCACTGAGGGAGGCCAGAAGAAAAGCAACGGAGTCGAAGTACGACCTCCTGACCAAAGGGATGAGTCTGAGTGTGTGTTACTCTGCCAGCATCGGGGGCACAGCCACGCTCACCGGCACCACACCCAACCTCATCCTCAAGGGTCAAATGGACGAGTAAGGCATTAATAAACACGAGTCAGCATTATTTCAGGTACATGACAGCTGACTGTCCTGGACGTGCTCCTCCCCTCATCTCTCCATGTTTCTTTCCCTGAAGGATTTTCCCTGACAACGGTGGTGTGATCAACTTTGCCAGCTGGTTCGGCTTTTGCTTTCCCAACATGGTGCTGACGCTGGTGCTCACCTGGGTCTGGCTTCAGTTTATGTTCCTGGGCTTCAAGTAAGACAACTTTAACATAGGCAGCAATAGATGCTTGTGTGACCAATAAAGAAATAAGTGTGTTTAATACATCCAGCCAGCATCATGTTTACACTCACACTGTGAGGTATGCAAATATGTAACTAACAATTAGCATGGCTCAACATGGGTTTGGATCATGGACTGTACATAAAAGATGGCCTCTGGGTGTTCAAAGTGAAGCCAGTGTGGCCTCAAACCTGCATTCTTTCTGACAGCCAGCAGGGGGCGACTCCTCTGGTTGCTAAAAGAAGGTCAAATGGATAGAAGTCCATTAGAAAACGATTCAGCTTCTCACTTGATTTCTTACTTCAGTAAACTTTTCCTAATGAATTTCTGATCTCATTTACTAATTTTAAGTCTCCTTTAATACAACATGATGTTCGTTTTGTAAATGATGGTCCCATTTAGAAGCCATGTATAGTAACATGACATAATCTGCTGTGTGTGTGGCACATGAAAAAAAAGTGTAATGAATTTTGAACCTTCACTTATGAAATAAACGAACAAACCGAACTGAAGAAAACTGATGTAGTAAAGAGAAGCTACTACATTTTAATGTCCTCTAGCTTAAAGTTGAACCGTTCTACTGAACTTGATCCACACTTATGAATCTTTCCTTTATTTGTGTACCAACCTGCAGCATCTTTGCACTGTATGATTTCTCCTCAGCCTGAAGAAGTCGTTCGGCTGTGGCGGGAAGAGCGACAGAGACAAGGAGGCGTATGCAGTGATGAAGGAGGAGTACGCAAAGCTGGGTAGCATGAAGTTCGCTGAGATTGCGGTACTCATCATCTTCATCCTGCTCGTGCTCCTGTGGTTCACCAGGGAGCCGGGCTTCATAGACGGCTGGGCAACAGTGCTCTTCAATATGAATGGCGCGTAAGTCTTTTGCTGTCTCTTTCCATATTTTATTGCATATATTGAACAGATGGTGCTCTATTATTTTGGTAGTGTTAAAAAAAATCTGAAAAAGACAGAAAAAAACCGCAACAATGAACTGTTCCTTTAAGCTGTATCAGTGTAATCGACACATGATATAAATGAAACTTTAGAACTCCAGTGCTGTAACTGCTGCAACTATTGTACATCAGGGGAACTGTAGTTTATTTTGTCTTAACCCCACCATATATTCACAAAAGCAACAATTGCGCAGAGGAATACAGTCCCCAACAATCACACTGTTTGCTCATGCTTGCATATTGTTTATCCAGAAAGTTGTGAACCTTTTCTTGAAAAAAATCAAACTTAATCTTGAGAAGTGTTTAAAGTATTGACTCCTATTCTTTTCCCCTTGTAACTTTCTGGTTCATTCATTGGTTTTCCCTCCAACTGTGCAGAAATTATTCAGTCCTTGTCATCCAGTTTAACCTTTGGTCGTTTCTCCACAAACAATGTAGAAGTTTTGCATCAATAAGTTCATATTTGTTCTGCTGAATCAGAGCAGAAAACCTGGAAGCAACATTTTAAAACAACAATATGTTATCTTGTGTCCATCAGGTTTGTGTCAGATGGAACAATCGCCATCTTAATGTCAATGCTGTTCTTCGTCGTACCCTCCGAGCTGCCCCGGCTTGGTGGTTACGGTTACAACGAGGCAGGTGAGATATTCAACCTCACTTACGATACAATGCCTTTAATGGTGTTCATGTGACCTGAATTCCCTCTCAATGGAGCCCTCTGTGATCATTACCTGGCGGACCTGACACTGCTCTTTCAGACTAATTACTGTTTCATGTTCAAACTTCATCTGGGTCTCACAGGTAAGCCGATAAAGAGTCCCCCGGCTCTACTGAACTGGCAGGTGGTCCACGAACGAATGCCCTGGAACATCATCTTGCTGCTGGGAGGAGGCTTCGCTCTGGCTGCTGGCAGTGAGGTAAACATCCACAAACACCGTGATCTGTAGGAATTTAAGGCATTTATAACTATCAGATACTAAACAATGGTTTTGGCAATCAAATGTTTTCAGTCTTCTTGCACTTTTGTGATTCAGATCACTGTAAAATGTAAGACCTTTGCATTTTGTTCATAAAGCAAACTATATTCAGATATCACGCTGGGTTCTGGGAACATAAAATGAGTAAATGATCCTTTGGAGTTCTTAGATCAAATAAATGCTCGACTAATTAGCAAATTGCTTCAAAGGTTAATCTTTAATTGTAGAATCAGAGCTTCACTTTCACATTAGGGAGTTTTAGGGGAAAGGAACCCAAAATAAGCTTAATCAGCATAACAATGTGAAATAAAATGTCAATGAAACCACCCACAAGTGTAACAATTACCAATTGATTTCTGGGATATGCAGTGCAAAAACGGACACCAAAATAATAACCGAGTCCTACTACAACAAAACCTTTCCTGGTTTCTGCTCAGGTTTTCTGCCATAATGAAGAAGAAACTAAAGTCTACAGGCACACTGCGCACTATCTTAAAAGATTCTCCAAACTAATTTTTTTTCCCACAAGTCCATTTACATTTTTGGAAATAATTCTTATGTGGTTTTTTTTGTTTGTTTGTTGATGACAACAGGTCTTCAACACTGATAATTTAGTTTGAATTTTGCGAAAGTGGCTAAATATTTACAGCATCTTCTAAAAGACATCAAAAAATCTATCTAAGAATTTAACACATACAATAAATTATGTATAAAATATGATTTATTGAAACTGTAAATATGTCAGAATTCTCACAAGATGGCTGAAAATATGAGCCGCCGTTATTTGTGGGCCTCAGCTGTATATGTAAAATCAACAGACAATCCAAACCAAATAATCATTTAACAATGTCTAAAGAAAGAGAACGATGAGAAGAAAGGCATAATGGTGCTTAACAAAGAGCGATAGAGGGAGTGAGTCATCGCTAACTGGCTTGGAATCAGCTAACTGCTGTTCATTACAACCTCAAAAAGAAAAGGCAATGTGGATCTATCTGGAGTATGTAGTAGATTTTAAGATATTTGATCAAATAATGTCGAGTTGGAGGATCATCAAACAGACATCCTTCTATGGTTTAGTTGGATTGAAGATCAAGAGCTGGAAAAAGTGAAGAAGGATGAAAGGTTAACACTTTTATTGATAAAATGTAGAAGAGGCAGTGGAGGATTGTCGGATGTCTTGTTCCTGCAAGCTCGATGTGGGCTGAGTGTCCTGATGGAGCCGACTGAAGGCAGAGAGTTGAACTGGAGCACAGAGACTGCAAAATTACTGGAGAGGTTAGCCTGGTGGAGACTGGTGTGAATAGTAGACAGATAGCAAAAGTGACAGAGTCTTTACTGGTAGATGATTCCTGTTTGTGCAGATAGTGGACAGACAAACAGCGAGAGACAAACTAGGAACCAACAAACGACAAAGAATCAGAAAACACACTTGCAACCTGAGTAAAGGGAGACGACGAACACAAAGCCATGACACAACACTACAAACTATTCCTATTCCTGTTATGTTTACAGAAGTCAGGCCTGTCCTTGTGGTTGGGAGAAAGCTTAGCGCCTCTGCAGAAAATCCCCCCCTTTGCCATCTCGCTGCTGCTCTGCCTGCTTGTGGCGACGTTCACCGAGTGCTCCAGCAACACGGCCACCACCACCCTGTTCCTGCCCATTCTGGCTTCAATGGTAGCTCAAACGTCCTCAAGAATGCATACTTTACATGTGCAGGCAGATCTCCTCTTTGTTTTTAACTGTATTTTGTGTCTTTTCTCAGGCTACAGCTATTAAGATACACCCACTTTACGTGATGCTGCCCTGCACCATCGCTGCCTCATTGGCCTTCATGCTGCCGGTGGCCACGCCTCCCAACGCCATCGCCTTCTCTTTTGGAAACCTCAAAGTTTTGGACATGGTGAGATTCTTGTCCATCAGGCCTAAGGATTTAACCCGCATCTGCCTCATTAAACCATACATTTTATTTGTAGGAAATTGTTAATAAACCTAGTTGTAATGAACACGTGACATTCTCACAGTGTACTGCAAAGTATTCACAATATAAACCATTAGGAAACATCAGGAACATTTTATGAAATGGAACACTCCTACAATGTGTTATCAGATACAGAAATATCAAATAACTAATATTGCCGCTCACAGCAAGCATAAAAACATATCTGAGAGAACTGAAACTGAAAATCAAGATTATTTTTTTAAATAGGGAACTAAAATCTGACTGCTTTTGCTCCTACTGATCAGAATGTGACTTTCTGTTCCTTCAGGTGAGAGCCGGCTTCATGCTGAACATCATCGGGATCCTGTGCATTAATTTGGGCATCAACACCTGGGGATACGCCATGTTTGACATGGGCACTTTCCCTGCGTGGGCAAACGTTACGAGCAAACCCTGAGGAAGAGTCAGATGAACAGAAGGAATGAATGGAGGAGAGTTGGATTTTTATTTTATTTCATAACCTCAAATATTCTGCTTCGTCAGGACAGTGTGATGTGGTTTGATCACATTTGATTATTGCACGGAAGAAAATGATAGTTTTCTGACTGTGCCCACGAAGACAAACCAGCAAGAAAAGCTCAAGACTTCATGTGAAATCACCGAAACTTTTCTGTCTTTTTCAGAAAGTAGTTTCTTCGTGTAGGATCTCATTACACGTAGTATGAAGCTAAGGTAGCAAAAAAAAAAAAGTTTTCAGGGGTTTTAAAGCAAAGAGGAGAAGCCATTTGAGTTTCAACAGCTGTAGCAAAAGCTTTCAGTGTTAAAAGAGGAGAAGAGGATGGAAATAAAGGCTTAAATGAGGTAAAGAAAATAAAGTTAAACTAAATTCTGATCCAAAATAACATCACAACAAAGAAACTCTGTGCAGTTATTTGGTGCGACAGGTGTGTAGGAGAGCAATGAACTGATAAAAAGTTTCAAAGTGACTCCTGCATGCTGTTCAACTTTCAAAAATATATTAGTGGTGGACCTTCAGCTGACAAACTGTCTCTTGGTAAACAAACAAATGTGGTTTTTCATTTTAGACAGCGTGCAGTAGTCAGTTTAAAACTTTTTTAAAATCCAAAATAAGCATTTAAACCCAGTAGCACATACTGTGAATGACTTCTAATTATCATAAAATTTATATTACCAATAAACCTTGGCCTTATAACTTAAGATCAGGATCTCCAACTGCGATTGAGATCAACCTAATTATCTTTCTTACTGAACAGACTCTCCCTTGTCAGTGTTCAGAACTTCCTCGTGTGATTCCAGTGAAGGAAAAGAAATGATATGTTTGCTAAAAGGAAAAAAGTGAGGTCACTTCCTTGTACACATGTCCCTAAATGTGCCGTCATCTGGTCGATCTTGTTATCATTTATAGATATGTTTTGAGTGATTATTCATAATGATCATACTTAATGAGGTTTATGATGTTTACACGCACAATGTAAATGACGTGATTTCATTGTATCAGTTCATTTAACTTATTACTGTTTGTCCTTTTGTAGGACTTCAAGTCTTTGTTTTGTGTTGCATACTTTATTTTTTATCAGTGTTTTTGACACAAACAAGCATCGACTTTATATTTCTTATTTTAATTTGTCAACACTGAAGTGGCAGACATTTGGTGATCACATGGGCACTTAAAACAGATTTTTTTTTTTTTTTAATGCACTCTTTTCTTGCTGAGAAAAGATTTTTTTGCAACTGTAAATATAAAACCACAGCCAGATGAGGATTGGTTCAGCCCAAAGACTGGAGCTACATGCTCTGCTCTAAAGTCATTAAACCAAAGCTTTAAATCTCACTAATTACCATGTTACATCTCGTTTGTCAAAAGTGTGAAAACATTAAACACCAGATTATGTCTTGGCTCACTGCAGTCATTTTTGTCACTCTACCAAGAAGTTGTACATGAAAAAACTCCCCTAAACTCCGAATTTATTATTTTCTTACTTCAGCTTTTGCATAAGTTAAAAAAAACAAACAAACACTAGATATAACTGAATTAGTGAACCTTAAAGCTGAGCCAGACCTGTTTCCCTGCCTCCAGTCTTCCTGTTATTCTGCCTTCTAACTCCAGCTTCACACTGAACAGATGAATATCAACAAAAGCAAATATTTCTCAAAACTATTTCTTTAACGCATCCATTCCAGCTATTAGAGGGACACTGAAAAATGTCTTTTAACATCGAGGAAGGTCAAACACTGAAATTTCACAAATCAATAGCATGAAGGAGTTACTTATATTGTTTAGCGTGAGTGCAGATGAAACAGTTGGTTGAAGGATAACTGCTAGATAAGAGGCTGCCAACAGGAAGAGACTGTAGTGAAGGTCAGTTTCTATCACGTTTATTACGAGTGAACGTAATAAACTGAAAATGTAGAGGACAGAGACAGAACGTCCCGGCAGGGAAATGTGTTTTTTTTCCCCCTCCACGTTGCATGTAATATATGAGCCATTTGTATTCTGAAAATAAAGACATCACCATGTGAACAAAGGGTCTCCTTCATTGTCCCGGGAAATTACAGTCAAGACACCGTGATACTTTAAAAAGTTCCATAAATCTTTATTTTACTTTTGTTCAGTCACACCGACTTCTGACTTGTCAAAAAACTTTACATGAGTTCAAAATAATTTGTACGAGTCACAATCAGTCATATATAAATCTGTTCTACATTATCTGTGTTACATTTTTTTTTTGACAAAACATTCAAGTCAATCAGTTTAATCTCTGTTTTATAGTCCCCTCTGGTCCAGTTCACTACTTTAACTTTTTTTTGTCTCTTGTGCAAATTGTTCAGGCCCAAAACAACAAAACCGATCAGACGTTAATCACTTAGGAGCCAATAACAATCTTAATCAATGCTCACCTCCATCTTGTGCAGGCGGGTTTAAGTCATTTTCTTTCGATTGGTTTGCTGTTCTTCACAAACTGCCATTTGTTCGAATGCACTGCACTTTAAATTAGAATCACTTCAGCTGTCAGTTGCACAAACTGACGTTCAAGTGCATCAAATCAGAGTATGTGAGGATACGATGAAGCAAAATTTCAAAGACCTATTTGGATACTCTTGAGTCAGGTTGTGTTTCAGCACAGATGGCGACAAAGAAAAAGTTGTGCATATTATGATTTAGAGGCATCCAGAGACAGTTCAGTTAATAAATGCCTTCAGATCACCGCGCTCAGGTCCAAATCACTGGAATGAGTGCAAACAACAAGACGTACGAGAGGCAGAAAACAGGTAACATCACTGAGAATGAGAAAATGTCGGTACAATACAAGACGTGAAGAGGACAAACACAAAAACATGAGATTTAAGCGTGATTTGTTCTTTGAAACGACTTCTGCTACATTCCTCAACCTTCTTCCTTTCTGTAACAACATTACAAATCCAAGGTTTCCTTTACAACCTTCCCTATCGCCTAAACTAAGCAACATGAGGCAGGAGGAGAACAGTCGGCGCGCAGATGACAAAGTACGTTCATGGTCATATCAGATCATCTTTATAACTGTCGGCTCTGTTAAGATGTTGTGCTTTGAGAGGATACAATAAACACATACGCCCTACGGTTACTTTAGGTTAAGAAATAAATAAGGAACAAAGGGATCAGAAAGGAAATAAGTTGGATAAATTAAAAATAACTACCGACTGTCTACTGTGTAGAAAAGGCGCTAACAGGTTTCGGAAATCTATTTGACCTTTGCAAACCAGATGGTCATATTATTGACATTTAAATTAATATATTTTCACCGGAGCAGTTATCATGCTTCAAACTGACACACACAAACACACAGACAATCATACAAAGTACACAAACACACACACACACACACACACACACACACCAGAAAAGCAAAAGTAGACACACACACACACACACACTGAATCTGAAAAATGATTTCCGCCCAAAAAAGTCCTAAAAACACACGTTTTTAGATGCTAACATGTACAGGAATGAAAAAAATAATTTCTATATTTTTTTTTTTTCACGTCATGACGTGGCTAAAGAGAGAAAACCATCTAAAAAGTTGCTTGCTTGCTGGTATATCATGTTAAACACACACACTGAACCGTGTGCATCCATGTGTGGGTTTGTGTTTGTACACACAGACACACACAGGTTGTAACTGACACATGTGTGTGGGTGTTTTCTGGATGGCCTTCTCTCAGCAGGAGAAAGAGAACAGAGAAAGACAGAGGGAAAAACAGTTAGAGAGAGAGAGAGAGAGACTGCTGGATTGACGGTATGCTCGCTCCACACAGTCCGTAAATCCACCCGCCTCTCTTGCCTCCGTGTCGTCTCTACGTCCCGCCGTTGTACGAGTAGTCTGCCTTGTTGTGCATCACCAGCTTATTGTCCACAAAGTAGAAGCTGTCGGACTGAGTCTCATACGGGTGTAGGATCATTTCTCTGACTGCGACACACAACGGAAACATCATTAGAGTGCGATGACCACCAGAAGGGTGCTAAGATCAGAGTTCCTACATTTTCAGATCATATTTAACATCTGAGTAAAAAAACCTACATGTTGAGTGTGTGAATAAAGGATTTTAAAACCCAGCTATTACATTCTGATAATGCATGCTGTCATGTTGCAAAATGTTCGTATACTGTAGCTCATACAAATCAACGTACATCAAATCCAGACAATTTCAGTGCCTCAGCATTTTATTCAAACTGCAAAATGGAAATATGTTTTCCTTGAACATATTGAATAAATATTATACTGTTGCTCTGTGCATAGTTTTTACTCTTCTTTATAAAAAAGCACCAAAAACAGCATCTGTGCAGACTTATGCAGTCACTGTGAGCATAGAAAGTGCGATGAATGCAGCCATAAAAGTGTGGTTTTCCCATGCAGAACAGACAGCCTCTTTAAGCTTTTCTCATAGCTATATCACTGAACCATCCATCCATTATCTATACACCGCTTAATCCTCACTAGGGTCGTGGGGGGCTGGAGCCTATCCCAGCCGACTCAGGGTGAAGGCAGGGGACACCCTGGACAGGTTGCCAGTCTATCACAGGGCTACACTTAGAGACAGACAACCAAGCACACTCACATTCACACCTATGGACAAAGAATCACCAATTAACCTCAACATGTTTTTGGACCTTGTGGGAAGAAGCCGGAGAACCCGGAGAGAACCCACGCTGCACGGGGAGAACATGCAAACTCCACGCAGAAAGATTCCGGTGCCCCCACCGGGACGCGAACCGGCAACCTTCTTGCTGCGAGGCAACAGTGCTACCAACTGCGCCGCCTTGCAGCCCTCACTGAACCACTTTTTTGTAATTTGTGATTCCGCATATAAATGCAAACTGAACTGGGTTTGGTGCAGTTATAAGGTGCTTGGAGCAGGGCTGTATGGCAGAGGGGTTAGTACTGCCGCCTCGTAGCTGGAAGGTCCTGGGTTCGAATCTTGGTCTATGGAGTTTGCATTTCTGTTTGTTTCTCACTGGGTGCTCTGGCTTCCTCCCACAGTCCAAAGACATGCTGAGGTTAACTGATGATCCTAACTTGGCTGTAGGTGTGAGCCTGCTTGGTTTTCTGTCTCTCTGTGTTGACAGCAGTGTATAGATAACGGATGGATGGATGTGCTGCAGGCTGTGTAGTACAGGTGTAGAAGCAGAGCTCTGTGTGGGAGTTATTCACTTGCTGTAATTCTTGCCTTTCTTTTGACCACATCAAGTTCATTCTGGCTTGTGTTCTCCAACACAGTGGTAAAAAAAAAAGTTCTGCTCCAAATACCATGAAAAGCACTCTGCTTGTATGATCATTAAAGCTGATAAAGGATTCTCTGGCTGGAATCTGTCCATAGTGTTCCCATCCTAAACTGAACCACTAGTCCATATTTTACACTGATCTTTTATTTTCTTCATACTTATCCAGATGAATGAAAAAGTGCTAGGGACATGACTTTGGTTCAGATCTGAAGAAACACTGGTTGGTTGAAATTACATCTTGTGTAGATATTCATGGCGCCCAGAAGATGAAACCTAACAGCTTTGTTGATCCCCTGAGGTTTTCTCTATTGCCACTGTGAGGCTGACAGACTCACACATTAGCGTCGCTCTCAGGATGAACTGTAAACACATTTAGTTAATACTTTAGTGTTTTATTTGGCACCATCATCAGGCCTGAATTGCAATGTGTCCAAAACTTAAAATTAATGACATTCCCCTGGGCCTCAGTTATACTAAAGTTAACATGTTATCACACAAATCTGAGACGGTCAATAAAGTAAATATTACCTGCTTTTAGATTTAGAGTTTGAGCGCTGCCCATGTAAGCACATTACCATGAGTTATTAGTATTTAGCTCAGAGCGGGGCTGTGTCTAAATGCAGCCTCAGAGAGCTGCCAGAATCACTACAGACTCTTGTTTCTCCTTGACTGACACAGAAAAACGTAGGAGGGAATGTGTGTTTTCGTGGGATTCAGCATCTGGTAACATCTTGGTCAATGTTGTTTTTGAGTTTCTACACCGCTTTACCCTGAGAGCAGCTGTTCATAGAGTTGTGTGTTTGGCATTGTGGCATTTTACAGCTGCATTCATTTGCATTTATTGTAGCAAACACACACACACAGTGTTTAACTTTAATATCTAGTAGTCAAGGCCGTCCTTTTGTATGTGTACTACATGTACTTTCACAGAGTTACTCCCACAGAATTGTGACAATATGACATGCTGGTTGAACCACAGGACCTCCACATTGTTTTCTACTGTGTGTGTGTGTGTGTGTGTGTGTGTGTGTAGTGCATAGACTTACTGATGTCCTCAGACAAAGGTGGGAATTCGTAGATGTGTTCACAGGTGTTCTTGCTGCTGGGCATGCAGAAGCCGAACTCAAAGTCAAAACTCTTGAGCAGCTTCTCTCTGAAATAATGTCTCTCGATCATCCTGAAGTTTTCTATCGGCATATCTCCGACTGTGAACTCGACGCTGGATGGACGAAGAAAGAGAAAGGTGAGTGAAACAGATATCAGTGAAACAAGATATATTCAGCTCACTGGTTACGGTATCACACACACTTACGTGGCTCCAACTTGCCGCAGTCGGAGGAAAGCGGGGGTGAACTGGTAACGAACAAACCGCCCAGCGTTTGGGTCGATATCCCTCTTCTCCCCGGCTTTATCTAAAGTCAGTTTGTATGGAACAGAATGAAAATAAAACTGCTTTCAGGTGTGGATATTTGCCATTGTCTTCTCTGTGGCTCAAGCAAACAGAATATCAAGCAAACCACAAAACCAGTAGAAGTGTGACAGGTGTACATTCCAGTTCATGTCTACTATCAAGTAGAACAGATTACAAATATTGAAAAATACTGTATCTCAATAAACACTTAAAATGTCCATATACCATCCTATAGTTGCATTATAGTCTATTATAAACAATTCACAACGATTCATCTTAATTATTCATGTAAAGCTTAAAAAGCCAGAGAAGTAGACCTGCTATTTCTGTTTTAAGGTCATGATGAGAATTTATCTTTTCGCCTACATTTTGAAAACTTGACAATAAATGCCAAAAAATTTTAAATAAAGTGTAATCTCAAAAAGAATAATAATAATAATAATCATAATAATAAGAATATGTGTTCTGAATTTGTGTTTCTAGATTTGTGCACTCCACATCTTCACAGAAACTGCTTTATAATGTGTTCATTCCAACTATTTTCATGGTAAATTGAGGTGAAATTAAACACATTCATAGAGTAGATGAGTGACTCGCCTGTCGATGGAGGTTTGGTGATTTCAAACAGCACTGTGCCGGTCTCCATGTCTCTGATCTTAAACCTGGTAAAATCGATGTTGTAAACGTTCTCGTCTGGGCTGCACAGATAATCTGAGAGAGAAAGGAAAGGAGTGGAAATGAAAGGACGGTTACACATTAAAAAGAAAATGTATGAAACAAGGAGTGCTTGAATGCAAATACAAAGAATGCAGATTTTTAGAAAAATACACCAATTCCTGTATGCTAACTCCCTGATAAATGCATAATATCTGTACATGTTGTCTGATATGTGTCAACGTGGAAATTGTTACAAAACAAAATACAGGAAAAGATTCTTGGTGTCATTTAGAAGCGGTGTCATCACATAATTTGTGTAGCAGAGTGGCACAATCCTCTCAGACTGTCTGCAGCACATGTTGCAGAGTACACATCACAACTGAGCAAACAGTGATGCCAAGTCAAGCTTTGTCTTCGGGGAACGATGCTTACTGGTTGGTGAAATATATTGCTGGAAAGTAATTAAACAATGGCTCCTTCACTTTCCCTTTAAATACAACATGTGTACAAACAATATCAATGTTGTGCCCCTTGCGATTGGAAGTTGTCTTTTTGCATCATGGATGCATCACTGAACCGGTCTATCTCATGCAGGCCTCAGCAACAATAGTTGTTGGAAAGTCAATGAAAAAAAAACACACACACACACGGAAAGCAAAATGACTAGAAAGATCTGCAAACCAATCACAAAGAGACACAAAACAATAGCAAAGTGACACAAAATACGTAAAGACACACAAAGCAGCTACAAAGAGACACAAAACAACCCCCAACCCCAGTATTAGTCAGCCGCTAGTATAATGTTAACTTAACGGTGAGAAAAGCAGAAGTAAACAGCTGCAAACACAGAAAATGAATTCTCTAAACAAACACAGCTTCAAAGCTCTAACCTCAAGTGCCTTTTTGCATCTAGTCCTCTCCGTGAACAGACAACAATACTGAGATGCTTTAAAAGTGGTAAAATGAAGTGAGAACATTTCCTCATACATTCACATACACAAAAAATCAAGCAAAAAAAGCTCCATAACAATGAACGATATCCTGTTTAATTCAGTTTCAAATAGCTGTAAACTGTTCAAAAGCGTAGTAATTCATTAAAACTCTCTTCCTGCATTTTTGACACAAACCTTGATGTAAAACTGTGTTAGAGAAGCCAGTTCCTCACAAACACAACACAGGCACACACACACACACACACACACACACACACGCGCATACACTAAAGCACTCAGTAAGAAAGAGAAGTGAGTTATTTTTATTCCCCTAATCCTTCCTGCCCTTACCAGGCAGTGTCACTGCTTATTAGAGTTCCCCAGCAGAGCACACACTTCCTGCTTCCTGCCTGATCCGATACCACAGAACATCTATCCGTGGATACATTCTGTCACACAGGCAGACGTCGCACCTCACATGATGTTCATAAATAAAAAAACATGTGGGATAACATCATGTCAGGGATTTGAGATTAGAGCCCTGCAGGTCTGAACAGCCACAAGAGAAACAGAGAGAGAGAGAGAGTCACACTCTGAGTTTAAAAGATCAGTGAATGTGTGTGATTACATGTCATGTCCATCTGTTAGCTCTGCGTTCCTTCTGGTTCCACGTTAAGAGATCTGCAGTTTTCTCTGCACGTTCTAACAGCTTGCGTTGATGGACACGTTCTCTTCACACACGGATACACAGTGTGGATATGCAGTGTGTCTGCTGTGTCAGCAGCACATCAGCCTGCCCAAAGAAACAGTAAAACACTGGAGACATCGAGGTCTGAGGGAGGATTTAATGGCTAATGATGGCCAATCGACTCACCAGCTGTTCTTTATTACACATTGACGGCAGGAAATGCTCGATATCTCCAACTCCGAATTACGTCCTGGAGGCTGATGTGCTTGAAACTGCAGTTTAAACTATACGACGTGAATACGAGAGCAGACGTAAATCAGAATAGATGTTTCAGCAATGTGCTATAGCTGTGCACCAATCATCACAGCTATGTACACTATGAAAGGAGTCATTTGTAGTAATCTGAATGTACAGCTGCCTGCTGCAGATTTGCAAAGAGTTTCAGCTCATTGCTTGGCTGTTCAGACATAAAATTACAGTTTCACAGCACAGTGGGTGGAGACCAAAAACAGAGCCAAAAGAGAGTGACTACTGAACTAAGATTTGGTGGAAACAAATCCTTGTGTTGCAGATATTCTGATCTGATCTGCAAAATAAGAATGTTGCTCTCCAATATAAGTCAAGTTTTTACCTTTTAACATGCCTTTATTTTTTCAAAGCTCGAGGACACATGAGCGAAATAAGTAGTTAAAGCCACATTTCAGCATTTCCACCTTGAAACTGTAGTGTGCAAATGACAGTTTAAAAAATATGGAGTCAAATTTTCATACATCAAATGTAAGTAACCATTTCCATCAACTTGTGGGAGGACTTATTATCATTATTCTTATACAGAATTGCTTTTCACTTCAAACATATATGGCGGAATAATGTAGAGTGGTTTTACAGTGTTTGAGCACAGTAGCAGGTTAGCTGGAGGGGTGCATGCTGACAAAGACTGGGACTTTATAAATCTGCACATTTTAGAGTTTATAAATTAACATCTAAGCCATTTTAAGGCATTAAGAGATTATTTTCGTGGATACAAATGTCTAAATATGTAATTTTGATGCAAAGAGACACGTTTTTAGAGGTTTAATCAGTGCAAAGAGACAGACTTTAAAATGTGATGACAATGGCCAAAGAACTAAGTTATTCAAGGTTAAACCAACTCTAACAGTCAAATTGACCAGGAAGATGACTAAATATCACTTTAAGTTTAGTTCATCAGTGTTCCTACATGAGAAATGTAAATGAGATACTATGCTGGTCAGGACCAATCAGGATAAAGATGCTACCAAAGTGGAGCCTGAGCCTGTTTATTTCTACATTAATCCCCCCTGTGGGATTATTCACAATACTCCGTGTGTTATTTTTTATGTTTATGTATGGAGTTTCTCCCGAAGTAGAACCATGCCCCCGAGTCCCAGCCTGTTGTCAACTCCATTTACAGCATGAGGTGAGCGTTCCTGACAGAGCTGATGTGATTCGCTGTGATGCTGTAATGCCTTTGCTCCTCTGTCAGTCTGAATGCTGAGGTCGGCTCTTCCGAACCCATCAGCTCTGCAGACGGTGCTCCATTTAATGCCGCACAACACCTGAAGATCCAAACTGCTTCCACACACACACAAGGCAAAGAAACACCCTCAGCATCATTTTAATTAATATACAATATCTGCACCTGCAAGGAGTGGGACCAGATCTGCATGTGTGTGTGTATTTGAGCTGCACATGTGGATAATATAAGCTTGTGGAGCACAGCTAGTGTTGTCTTTGTCCTTTTGTTAACCTGGTGCTCGTAGTCACCTTTGAGTCTCTTAATGAAGTCTCATGAGGACAATGAGGCCAAATGAGAGACAATGGATTTGTTGTGTGTATGTGCGAGACTGTCTGCGTGTCTCAGTGTCCTTTTTGTGCATGTGTGCGTGCGCTCTGACTTTGCCTCACAAAAGCTCAAGTGTTTTGCAGTAAATTACAAGCAGTCTGCTACCTCAGGCCACACACATACACAGACACACAAACCATCTGAGGACAACTGCTAGAAACCACTGAAGCCGTCAGCAGTTCATCACAGTCAGATCTCCTTCTGGGCTGCGATAGTACAAACACCTCCAGACAGAACATTGTGTGTGTGTGTGTGTGTGTGTGTGTGTGTGAGAGGGACAGATGAAATCTATGTGAATTCAGAGCGTGCAGCAAAATGTCTGGTCACCGCAGTCAAGGCGAAATTATGCAACAGACAAAGATGACTATTAGCAGACAAAGCTGAGCTGTTGAGTCTTCACTCAGCGGCTGGAAAACAGGAAGCAAGTCTGCAGATCACTTCTTCAAATTTTACCATCAGCAGGTTTTAAAGGGATCCTGCAGTGACCTCAGACTTCATGTTCTCATCAGTGAACAATAGCATCACATGTCATTTCCAGTGTTGTTTCCACCACTTACAGTTGGGAACACAATTTACCGCAATTTAAAGGTTCTTGGATGCACTTTAAAAATTTTTTTTTTTTTTAACAAGACACGAGATTTGGTGCCTTACAGCCTCCGTGTGTGTGCTATGAATGAGTAAAGACCAGATGAGAAACATGCTAGATTTGGTTTAAAAAAAAAAAAAAAAAAGCATCGACAGTTGTATGAAAACATTTCAGTTACAGAAAATGTACTTTGACTATTTAACTCAGCACCATCTCTGTATGACAACTGCAAAGGCATATCTGGATGCAATCTGAAACAAACAAACAAAAAAAACAGTTCTGAATGCCTTTAGCATTGTTACACTATATGAGAAAGATTTTAAACTGCTATTAAAAGTTATTTTTGATTTTTAATGCAGATGCACTCTCCTAGAAAATCATTCTCCAATTATCTACTCTGTCCAAATAAAGTTATCTAAGCCATCTGGTAAAAATGTCTCTACTTTGTCATTTCACAGTATGTGTTCCAGAAAAAAATAAATATTGCGATGTCAGTTTTATCCAATATTGCAAAGCCCTACCGTGTTACATTTTAAAAACTGTCTTCACTGTTTAACAGATGTTTCTCTCAATAGCAATAAAAAACATCTGGCACACTCTCACTTTATTCGTGATTGTTTGGTCCTGATACCTTCTCGAGGTAAAATGAATAAATAGTGGAGCCCACTATTGCTGCTCTGCCTTCACATGCACGAAGGACACAGGAATGGAAGCGTAAAGGTAATCCAGGTTTACTGCGTCTTTTTATGTCAGACATCAGCCTCAGTATTTATTCTTCAGAGTGGAGTCACTGCTGCTGATTCACATTAAAAACTTCTGAATCATGGGGGGGGGGAGCTTTTATTGTGAAGCACTCAGAAATGCAGTGTATTTGTTACAGAGTTTAACGCTTGCAGCAACTGATTATGAAAATGTGTCTGCAAAACAACACCAGTCATTTTTGCCAGTGAATCATTTGGAATATTACCCAGAGTAACACAACAA